GTAGCTAAATATGCTAGTAGATGTAGCTAAACATGCTAGTAGATGTAATCTGCAGCCACTTCTTCAGGTCGTCCTCCACCTCATCTTCAGCAGCAGCAGTATGATTATATTGTCCTGTTTGAGCTCTGACAGGTGGTGGTCCTACATGTTTAAATTAAATCCACAATGCTCAGCGAAACTACATTAGGTTGTCCTGTTCACACATAAACGATGGTTCTGGTCCGCGCCGGAAGTTGTGCCCATAATTCATGCAAGGCGTCATTAAGGCTAGGAATAAGGTGGATAGGGGATTAATACATACACAGCTTTGGAATCTTCTGGGCCAGAAGTTGACTCTTCCCCTGCCTCCTGGTCCACCTCTTCATCATCATCCTCATCTGTGGTGTCAGAGTCTTCACTGGAGGAAGAGTAATCGGTCACCTTGTTCTGGGGACGAACATCATCCACTGCACGCAGTTCTTTGGCCAGAGCTGTTAGGTCCTGAGGATCACAAAGGAAAAACAGATTTGATCTCACTGAAGTCACTTCTTTCAGAGCACCGGAGATCTGATCCAACCGTTTCATCTGTTCTCTGTGCAAGCTGTTAGCAGAAATGTTAGAAGCCTTTCTTTAGTAAAGCAGGAGAGCTGCTGGGAAGGAAGTAGTAAAGTGCCAGTCAATGGACAGCCAACAGAAGAACAAAGCCAAACAGTGAGGCGAGGAGCAAAATGACAGCTGATGCTCTTCAAGCTGCAGGAGGGATGGTTAGTGGATTAATTTTGACAATTAAACAACAATTAGAGCTGCAAAGATGAAAAAGTAAGTTATTTCTCAAAGTTAAAAAGGTATGAGTGACAGTCGGGCAGCCAGAGACTAGTGGAAACAACCAAGAAGAAACTCCATCAGCCAGAGAAGTCAGCATGAAGACCAAGGCTTAAAGTCTGATCAGACCACTCTACTGGACGAAGCAGATCACATGACGTTCAGAGGAGCTACTTTATTAGAGAAAAAATGGGAAATGAAGAGGAAAGATCAGATGTCACACATCATCACACACACCTGAGATCTGAAGAAGCACACACACCAACACACAACCTGTCTAACTCTAAATCTACATAAGCTGGAGATCTACGCTTCTGTCCAGCTGCAGGTTAACTCTCACCGCTGGTCTGCTTGGCCTGACCAAGTCCTTCCTCTCTTCAGGTTTTTTCCCAGCATGCTCTGGTCGTTGGAGGGGTGAACCCTCCGATTTGGAAGAAGCTGAAGAAGGTGGAGGTGGTAAGGTCAGTTCACACCACAGTTACAATCAGTCCACTAATAATAATGTGTTTGTGTAATTATACTTAAATATTCATTTAATTAAAAAGTACTACGTCCAGCTGTGTGTAAGTTCTGGTTCTGAGTGCTGCTTGGACTCACAGCGGGCCCTGAACCTCTCTCCAGAGCCACAGTGAGAACTGGGCTGAGAGCTGGAGTTACTGGAGCTGCTGGAGGAGCTGGAGCCTCCACTGCCACTGTTACTGGCTGATCTGGGAACCAGTTTCTCCACTCGTTCCCACAGGAGTCGAGGCTCTGCTGAACTGCAGAGGCAACACACATCAGTCAAAGTTCAGTAGACACACACTGTCTGCAGCTGACACCAAGTCTGATCTCAGAACCATGATGGAGGAGGCGCCAAGTTCTTCTTTAATGTTACAATTATGGAGCTTGTTTTGTTTTTATTTAGTGTTTTTATAAAACTGTATTTGACCTGATTTATAAGTTAGAAAATAAATATTTTAAGTACTTAAGTCTCGGAAAATTTAGAGCATAAACAAAAGGAGCAAAAACAGTAAAAATGATTGATTTCTAAAAACAATCAACACAAACCATAAGTATTGAAGATTATATCTTTGTAATGATCAGTGCAGAACAAACAATAAATAAACAATAACACAGACAGAGCTTTAGATGTAAACATTATTATAGGGGACTTACAGAAAAATGTAAAGAATTCAGAGAATCAATGTGGAAGCTAGTAGATTGGAAATCAATAAATATGCATGTTGGAGCATTTAAAATATATTATCTCACATTATTAAAGAAACGGTGAGATCAATAATTTCCTGCAGGATCAATAAAGTTCTATCTCATCTTATCCTCAGTACTGAACCACCAGAACTGCAAGGTGTTCAGCTCCTGTCACACCTGTCTTCACTTCCAGTCACCCCAGGTGTCGTCATCACGTCTCGTCAGTGTCTTTCCATTCCTCCTGTGTCTGGACGTTATCTTCCCAAGGCTTCAAGGTCTGTCTCTCCGTTTGTCAGCTCATCTCCATCAACATGCTTTAGATGCCCCAGCAGCACTTTGTTTTGTTATTGTAAAAAATACAAGTAATTATCTGTATTACTTTTTACTCCAGAGTCTCCTGCCCCTACCTGCACATGGGTTTGACCTTTAAACAGCAAAATATGTTGCAGATTATTCTTCTACAGTCAGGCTCATTTTCCAACACCTTGTAACCGCTTCCTTCCTACCAGGGATTCACTATGGTGACATTATTTACATGAATGCCCCTGCCAGCTGTTTGCAGATGTTGGATGCTGTCTACCATGGCACACTAAGATTCATAACTGGCTGTAACTACCGTACCCATCACTGCACCCTGTACTCCTTGGTCAGTGTGTCATCATCATCTACACGTAGACTCACACTGGTTCATTTTCATCTATAAATCCCTTCTTGGTGAGCTGTCTTCTTATATCTCCTCCCACATGTCACGTCGTCAGTGCAGTTACAACATGCGCTCTCAGGACATCATTACCTGCAGCGTTCCCTCAGTGCAGACTGAACTTGGCAAAAAGGCCTGTTCCTACTCAGCTCCTGTTTCCTGGAACACCTTGCAGCGCAGAAACTGAAGCTGTCTACTAAGATTTCTCTAGGGAGTTTCCAACATTTGATAATGCCAATGGAAATATCAAAGCAAAGATGCTCTTGTTTTTAGTATTTTACCATGTTTTGTGGCACTCTGATTAGATTGTTTTAGAACACTACTTTTTATTTTAATTGCACTTTACTGTAGTTTAACGTTGTCTGTGCTCTGTTGTCTGTTTAAATCAGGTCTCTGTTGTAAATGAGTTCTCAGTGAGACTAACCTGGATAAAGGTTGAATCAATTTTCCTGTAATTATCACGTAGCAGAAATTTACTCAGAACTTGTCTCCTGTTTCTATAATTTGACACTGACTTCATGTCTTATTATACATTTACTCAATGTTTTTAGGACAATTTTAGGCTGTTTGAAATTGGCATCTTAAGCACTTTCTATATTTTAAATACAACACAGTCAGATTGTTAAACCATTTAGAGTTCTGTAAATAGGTGACATGATTTTCTTTAAAAATAACTCTCATAAAGTCAAATGGCTGTGAGGGATGAAAAAGCCCTCCTCAGACGTTTACCTGGCAGCGCTTCGATGCATCACATCCCTGTTCTGAGGGGTGTTGCCGTGGTGATGAGGCGAGTCTCGCCTTGGCAACACTGGCGACCTGGAAGTAGTCCTGACAGGAACCTTTCATGATAAAAACAGTGACCGGCTCACATTTATAAAGTCTGCAGTCAAACGTGTAGCAAATAGACACAAGTTTCCATCTCCCAGAACCAGCACCAATCACAACTTTCACTGGTGCTGAGCTCACTCACTGGAAATGTTTAAATCAGTTACAGCACGAGTGAACAGAACAACAGCTCAAGAACCAGAATAGTCTCTGCTAGAATACAAGTCCAGCGTGTTGCAAACGAGTCAGAGCACACGAGTTATTTCAGTCATGAAATCCAGGAGAGCGTTACTGTGGACCATTTCAATAACATCACTTCATGCTGCAACCAGAACCTTTACACTAAACTTGTGGACGTTTGTCTCCACATGGTTGTGATGATCTGAGCTTTGAATGAATACTAACAAGAGAACACGGCTGCAGACGTGTCTTACTGCGGTGCTCTGGGTGTGCTAATGGAACCAGAGGAGCGGAGATGGGACCGGAACAGTTTCTGTTTGTGTGTTTAAAGTTGAATATGGATTTTAGACATCTATCACACTCACTGAGGGGACAAACTCACATATACCAGGCCATAAAGTCCAGAATAATGTCTGGTTTAAAACATGCCTGTCTAGACTTAGGAGAGCCTCCACAGAGTGGGACTGGATTTGCAATGGTCTGGTTTGTTTCATCTTCCTGACTGAAAACTAACTCTTTCTTTGTGGCTCTTTTCTAACTTCATGCAGAAACTAAAAGTGCTTCCTGTATTTAACAACACAGACTTGTGCAATTCTGTTTTCTATAAGCTGAACTTCTTTTTCGCTTACATTTCTACACTTTAGTGTAATTTTCAAGTTCCTCAGTGGTCGAACGTTGAAAACATGGTAAGGCCACACAACTGACTGTCATTTAGCACTGTTTCAGTCAAAGACTGATTTTTGTGTTTTTTATTATCCCAGCAATCCACTTTATTTGTGCCAGTACTGATTCCTACCACATATAGTCCCAAGATGGTCCATTTTCTGTTTAATAAAACTAAGGAATTAAGAGTTTGCAGTGAAATTCCTGCTATTATCCAGTGAAGCAGACATTGCAGGTGTCAGTTTGAAATCTTTATGCTAATTTAATGATTATCTGAATACAGTCCTCCCTCGCTACTTCGGTGAAACTTCGGTGTTTTTTTCCGTACTCGCTCTATCGCGGTTTTTCAAAACAAGATTGGACATGACACACAATTGACTGCTTGATGGATGAGCTGCACGATCAACATGGAATTTTTATAGCATCTGCTGCACCTTTGTGCAGCCCACAGGATAAGCTTCGTCCTGCAGCTGAACAGCTGTTCTCAGTGCAAAGCAAAAAAGTGGGAGTGGCCAAGAAAGCTTGCAGGTGGCTGAGAGCAGCGGAGGCACAGAGAGGGAAAGCATGACATTCTGTACTCTTTTAGAGCATTTAGAGTTTAGAAACATTGTTTAGAATACTGCAAGAGTGTGAGAAAGGTTTAAAACGCCTTAATATATACATATATATATATACATATATATAT